AAATTTTTTAAAGATATTTCCTACATGTTCCTATGTATAATATGTATAACTTTGATTTTCCATTGTGGCCCCCTACCCCCCCCCCCCCCCCCATCCTTCCAAAAGTGGTTCTTGAGGAAGAATTTTTTAACAAATCATCAAATTTTCACTATTTCTTAATATCTCCCCTTGAAAGAGGGAGTGGCCCTTCATTTGAAGAAACTCGAATCCCCTTCACCCAAGCAGTGCTCCAAGTCACACTTGCTCTTAGGTCGCAAAATGGCGACCTAAAATTTTTTTGGGTCGTCATTTCAGAATTTCTGGTTGCCATATTCAAATATTTCACTCGCCATAAAAAAAATTCATTTTGTGAATAAAACTTGATAGTTTAAATACGTATATGTATTATGTCTTTACTATATCAAAGATTACTTATTACTTCGACTATACAAATTTGCTAGGTTGAATGAAATATTTTTATTGAATACATGTACCCTTATGGTTGTACAGAAGAACACAGAAAAAAAATTTATCAAACGAAAATACAAGCTTGACAGCTTTTGAGACAGGACTTACTTACTACTACGTACCTAACCCATTACACAGTCATTATAAATGCCACCAAAATACTCTTTATTAGCATGATTCATTGCGATATGCAAGCAGTTGACCAAATGCTTCAATAACAAGGTCGGATAGATCGATCTTAGAAAGTTTACGAAGTTTGGATGCCATTCTATCAGGAACATTATTTATACACGTCTCTGATTCTATCAAACTTTGTTCAGCATGCTGCCATAACATTACGTGAACTATGTCCATGCGACGCTTTGTAAAGTGTATTAAAGTATATGTCGTCAAACATTTTCTTGATAGAGAATCTTTGCAAATGAAATCTCGATCCCGATCTTAAAAGTGGACGTTTCCAGCTCAAATTTTCTCAGTCGCGAAAATGCGAGTGTGTTTTCATTTTTAGTCGCAAAATCAATTTTGGGGTCGCAAATGCGACCATTTTAGTCGCAACTTGGAGCACTGCCAAGGATGCTTCATGGCAAGTGTGATTGAAATTGGCCCAGTGGTTCCACAGAAGATGTCAAAAAATGTGAAAAGTTTACAGTTGGACAATAGGTGATCAGAAATTAAGGCTTACTTGAGCTTTTAGCTCAGGTGAGCTAAAAATTAGTCTGACCCTAAAATATGATAGCAGCTAGCTATACCAAGACAGGCTTTAGGCAATTACTTATGAGCTGCCTAAGAACCACTCATATGAATGGATAACATTTATTTTGACTGCAAATTTTTCAAAAATAATCCAGCTTACCTTCCTAATGCAATGATTTTCTGTATCGGCTGTATAAATAACACCATCCTTCATTGCTACACCTTGTGGAGCATCAAAACGGCATTGTGAAAATTTTCCATCTTTAAAACCTTTGTCTAGTCCACCTACACAGTACTGTAAAAAAAATTAATACAAGAGGTGGGTTTACAAGACCCTTTTACCAAAAGGGTGTAATAAAAATAGTTTAGACTAACTTAAAATGTTTAATTGCCCTCCCCTTGCAGAAATTATTCCTGACTTGAAAATGCTTCTCAGGAATTCCTAAGATGTCCTAAGAATTCCTAAGATTTCCTCACAATCTGATTTGAGGAAATCCTAGGAGTAACAATCCTGGGATTTGATTTCAGGACATCCTAGGATCTCCCAGGACTTCTTTGTTAAACATTTCAAATCCAAATCTTGCCAGGACATTTCATTGTAAAGCCAGGAGTTAATCATTTTTATGATAATCCCATTTCCTAGGACTTTTGACTTAATGTTGGGACTTTTGTAAAAAAGACAAATTAAACTTTACAAACTTGTACATGTTAATAAATGTTAAAACAGAATGACAGGAAATTTTATTACTTTTAAAGTTTTAATGTATAATATCAAGAAAATCATAAAATGAATAATTTTCAATCATTACATATTATACTTGATACATAGAAAGACACTGACCCTAGAACTATTTTTTAAATTAAATACTTTCTGAAATATTGATGCTGTCAGGGAGGAGTTATACATGTAATATGTTTTAAAGAAAAAATTGTTTACAGACAAACAATATTTCACCATTTTCAAATCACACATTTCTGAGTTGATTTTTATCCATTAGAATTAAATTCTACACTTAATCTTTAGATTGCTTCGTTCATGGGAAACTGAGTGCAAGCATAGTTTTTTTTTCGAAAGCACTGGTCATACAAACTTGGCCATCTTGCAATACAACATCAAGTATTAATACAACTTTTTCTTTCTATGTAGAAGTAATATTTTCCAGAATGTTTCACTGAAAATAAAGTGTTCTTCTTAACTTAAAGTTGGTTTTCAAATGGCTTTGAATTCAGAAGACCATACATGCAGAAGGATGGAGTGGTAAATTTTCTTCATCTGTCAATTTAATTTTTCACTTCGCATTTCATTTCGACAAAATAAAACATATTTTCCTCAGAGCAAGTTATAAGAAATGGCTCTCCTATACCGTCATCACCTGCATACAGGTTATATATCTCTCAGGTGGTTACCAAACTATCAGCTTCAAAGTCACATGCCTGGCTAGAAGTATCTTTTTTTTTGTATCTTCGTCTTTATCAGTGTCATTTGATTCATCAAACTGTCTTTGACTTTACTATCTTTAACATCTTCATCCAAATCTGTATGATTTCGCTGTATATTCACCCATAACTGCCAGAGATACTATACAAAAGAAAAGTAAATATTGAGTCATTGAAAGAAGAGTACACTACACAAATTTAAATACTACATAAACAGCATACTCAAGAAGCATGACTTGGTCTGTGACATCATACTTTTGTCACTTTCTGACTTAAAAAGCTTGGTATTTCAAATTTTGTTGGGTTAGAATCGTGTTGTATTGAGTTTGAGAATATAATTCCTCATGTTTCTGATATTGAGTATTGCTTTTATTTAACGAGGAAAATCTAAAATACGCAGTAAAACTAATAGAGTTTCCTGAAAATTTTATCCACATAAACAGAGATCAAAAAAAACTTTTCAAAGGTTTTGACGAAATTCTAGTCGTAACATAACTATTAAATACGATAAAAATGCGCTTTCCCTATAGGTTTTATCGCCATATATACTAATTTTCATTCATCAATTAGCAAAAAGATACTTACAGACATCGTGTCAGGCTTGTAGATGCGAAGAAAAGTCGTTGTTTACAGCACAATGTGACAACTTCACGATCCGCCATATTTGTGTTTGGACGGTTTCCATGCAAATTGTTCTTGGCCTAAATGTATCATCGTGGTTCTTCGAAAATATTTCTTCTGTAACACTTTCTGTTAGTAGAATTGGTTGATCAAGGATATTTATCGACGCTCGCGAAGCGAGCTCAATAGACTAACGTGTATGAACAGAGGAAATTCGGATTGAAATCTGTACATACGTCAGCCAAATTTCTCTGTGCAACATTCCCAGAATTCCTGCACTACCCAATGTCCTTTGCGCGAATAAATCAAAAATAGTAAAAAAATTAAAGGAACATTGTTTCTTACCGAAATCTTAACGAAATGATTTTGCCTTACCTTATTCAAAAAAATACCCCCATGCCACAACACCGGCCTTCACCTTGCCCTTCGGAAATGATACAACAATCGGCAATCCTCGGCTGACTCCGCTACGCTCCATTCAAACGTGCGAGGTACGAGTCATCCGAGGAACTCCGAGTGATGATACAAATGACGTCACCGGAAACTTACGAATTTTGACGAAGTTATGTCGGTTGCTTCCGTGAGACTCGGAAAACATGTTGCGGTGCATAGCAACATGGTGGCTAAAACATAGCAACAACTTACTTGAAAAGAACGATTTAATGCAATCTCTTTTCCATAAAACTAGCGTTTGCGTCCTAAGTCAACAGAACTTTTTATCTGACGTCATACTTTCGTCACTTCAACGGTTCGGGTATTTCCGATTTTGTCGGAAACTTCCGAGAAGTTTGGAATCTCGATCCCGATGCTTGGGAAATGATTTCTTTTTATTGTTTTGTTTTATTCTTTTTGCTTTCTTTTTCTTGAATGATAGACAGTACATGTGTAGGTTTATGATACTAAATAAACTGCGCTCGCCCCAACGGTCACACCGTAAAACATATTAACTTACTTGTTTTTTTTAACAAGATTCTCGGGAAAATGTCGGGATATTTCTTAAAGGTGTACAAAATACCCCTACACCGTGTCTGCAGCATTCTCTCGCGCGAACTTCCGAGAGGTGGTACAAAAGAGTGATCTTCGATCAATTAGTACCAGGTGTATAAAATATATTTTACTGTCAACTCAGCTTTGAATATTAATTTGTCAGAAAATATTCGCTAAAATATATTTTCTTTTTGTAAAAAAAAAAAAAAACGTAAATTCACATTAATCACAAATTATTTTCAAGAATAAACAAACCGCATTTTCTTGGTGTGGCACGAAATAACTTTACACCGTCCTTTATCATCCTCTCGCGAGACTTCATCGAGAAGCGCAAAATAGGAGTTCAAGGAGCGGCAATGTTTAGAGAGACTGGTGAAATGTAATGAAATGCACAACTTACGCCCAAGATTGACTCTAATTCTTCACATAAACCATGTTCTCTTTCCCAAAAATCTTGGTTTCGCTAGGAGTGCAGTAAAGGGAATGCTGGAAGAAGTGTAGATATCATGGCCACAGGCCAGTGGGGTAAGTGGCGAGTGGTTCCTTGTAATATGTATTTAAACACACAAATGTTGTTTAATAATTTAGTGCATGTGATGTGTTGTATATAATATTTCAATATTGAAACAGAAGAAACGATTTGAATATGTGTAAAAGATTTTTGGGCATACTGTGATTCATTCTAGTCCATGAAGATCAAACGTACATTCACAGTGAAATATTTCCAGGTTTTACATGTTAAAATTTAGTAAGCAGAAGACTTATAAACAAAAATTTATTATCAGTTCCTGTTAAATTTGCATTGAATGTTTTGACATGGTGTAAATTTTGGAATTATACTCTTAAATAAAGCCTTCATTGCATTGTTATCTTCTAGCTAGAACCTTGAAGCCTGGCAAGGATTATGAGACTGGAAACTCCCATTGAGACTACCAAATGAAGAGAAAGTTTCAGGTATCTTGTAATTTTTTTTTTAAATTTTCTTTTGTAAACTTGAAAGAATAGACGGATTTCACATTCCTAAGAGTTATCTCCGGTTGTTGGCGTAACACTCATTTTTCCCACTTTGTCCTTTGTAAGTTACCTGGAAATATTTTTATTTTCAGACATTTATATCTAACAATATCGGTCTGTAACTGTATTGCCAGAATATGGGGCAACTTTAAAAACGTAATGAAAAAATTCATACTTACTATATTTCTGAGATACTGACCCATAAAATTAGTAAGGTAATAGAGGAGAAACAGTGTCTTATGCCGGTTGACCCTGGATTGACCCCGCAAAGGGGAATAACTTTTGTAAATGTGAAAGTCGTCTATGAAAGTTTATGGTACATTTCAATCTCTGTAACTTATATTAAGTTGGGAAAACTGACGCAGATGTCGTAGAACACATAAGATAATATTTGCAAAATTTAGAACAGAAAAATGAAAACATCAGCAAGAAATATCAATGACAGCCATCATTAAAATTAATTTCAGCTAGATTACAAAAGAACAAATATATACACGTCTTATAAAAAATTTTATTGATAACTTTGCAGACTGTTTAACTCGGACTAAGGGAAAAGAAGCAAATTACAACAAGGAGAATATTGCGGAGAAAGGTAAGCTGTTCAAATAATGTTAATGTATGATTTTAATTTTCTCTTCACACGAAGAGTTTAATTCACAGTATTTTAATGCCAAGTAAATCGACTTCATACGACAGCTGTGGTAAAGCGGTTAACTATTGCGAATTAAAATTTTATTTTCTACAAAAAGGCTATTCAGTAAGATTATTATGACATCATTTGTAAATCACGTCATGTATGCAATTGATTAACATACCTTTTTCCTTATGCAAGTGTGAATAAAATAAATCTTTTGAGAAAAATGGTTCATCTTACTTGGGCAAACACATATTTTTATGGACTGGTAGAATCTGAAAGCTTGGTACAATTGTAGCATCTTTGGCTACTAAATTTTACAAGTTTGATTTTCATCCCTTAGAAATAATTACATATTTAGACTAAACAATGGAATACATTAAGTAAAATTTTATTTTAGCAAAGACAAGTGAAAAGTCGAGTGAAGAAAAAGCAAACAAGGCTTCACGATCTGCAACTAGGCCACTGGCGATGAAGAAGAAAAATGTACAGCTAAAGAAGATACATCAGTGATCAACTAAAGCTGGGCGACTTATATTGGATTCACGAGGTGCAGGGGGGATATTAATTTGGGTCTGTTTATCTTTCTAGTTGTCAATCTGTCTGTCTGTAACACTTCGTTCTCTTAACATTTCCAAAAAGCCATCAGATATTGCAATGACATTTTATTTATATTATAACTCATTTTGACGATCCCACTGCAGAACATGATTAATCATCAATACAAATTTAATATTGTTTATAAATTAGATATTACCCTTATATATTTTGAAGTGAAATGGTCAGAGGTCAAGGCCTCTTTCGGGGGCACATATTGTTTTTGCCTGTCTGTTTATCTGTCTATTGCCAATTTACCTTTTGCCATAACTTTTGAATCATGAGAGATATAGATTCTTCATATTGGGTATGCTTACTCCACTTTCAAATGAGACCAAGACCAATGACCTTGACTGTAATCGTTATGCTAAAATATAGCCTTATTGAATCTTACTTTTGAACCATAAGAGGTAGAGATTTTATATTGAGTATCCATACTCCACTAACTAAGTTCTTTCAAATTACATCAAGGTTAATGACCTTGTGACTTTGACCTATATGTTTTTGGGTTTTTTTTTTCAAATTTTGATGCCACCAGGTGCATACTGCTTTTGTTTTTTTTATGGGGGGGGGGGGTGTTATGAATTAGTTCTGTTTGGTATCTGAATCTTTTATTGTACAGAATTCTTCAGAAGTGACGAACCCTGAGGGCCTCACCCCTACTCTCTACACTAGGTTGTTGATTTAAATATTTCTTTATTATTATTAATATTTGTCATTGTACATGTATATCATAAATATTCTATGAGAGCTGCTTCAGAATGTAGTAACATAGTTTGAAAATAAGACAATCTGTTTCCCCCCTTGTGTGTAAATCATGATGTTGAATCATAACTGCACTATAATGTAACAGCAGTAAAATTGTAAAGAATTTGTTGAATCAGATACCATCAGCATTTTTAAAAAATTATTTTATGTATTATTTTTTCTGTGTGGCCATGAATTTTTATAATGCATACATTCATTAAATTTTTTTCAGAGATCATATAATTCTGCTTTGTTGCTATGTATGATTTTTTAAAGAAAAAGATGTCCTAGGAGGCTAGGATATCCTAGGAAATCCTAGGAATTCCTGATTTCCTAGGACATTTTAAGTGTTGGGATTTTCCTGGGAAGTCTTGGTGTTTTGATTCCTGGGATTTTTCTAGAACCCCTGAATTGGGACTGTCCAAGGAAATCCCAGGAATTCCTGTTCCAAAAACATCTCAGGATATCTTAGGAATAATCCTAGGATTTTTTCAAGATATCCCAGGAATAAATCTTAAGATTGTCTTAGGATTTCTTAGGACATCTCAGGAATATTCTGCAAGGGTCTCCCAACTCAGGATGAAAAAAGTGGCTCAGTAGGTAGACGAAACAAGATGTATTTGTGTAACACTATGCACCTGGTGGCAACAAAAATCTTTAAAAAGCTATTTTTAGCATATATGTCACAGTCAAGGTCACAAGACCATTGACCTTGGTGTCATTTGAAAGTACTTGATTGGTAAAATATGGATACCAAACATGAAGTCTCCATCTCTTGTGGTTCAAAAGTTATGGCAAAGGTATGAAAAAAAATATTTTTAGCATACAAGTCACAGTCAAGGCCACATTGACCTTGGTGTCATTTGAAAGAGCTTAATTAGTGGAAAATGCATACTAAATATGAAGTCTCTATCTTTCATGGTTCAAAAGTTATGGCCAAGGTTAAAGTTTGCAGATAAAAAGCTATTTTTAGCATACAGGTCACAGTGAAGGTCACAAGGCCATTGACCTTAATGTCATTCAAAAGAGCTTAAGTAGTGTAGTATGCATACCAAATATGAAGTCTCTATCTTTTATGGTTCACAAGTTATAGCGAAGGTTAAAGTTTGCAGACAACAAACAAACAAACACACAGACATACAGGACAAAAACAATATATGCCCCAGATCTATCAATCCGGGCGCATAAAAACAATTCCCAGAAAATTTCAACATATATTGTGAATTTTCAAAATCTATTTTAGTATGCATTAATAAAATTGTTTCTTGGGGGTTAAAAAGTTTTGAGTCCATTATTTTTAGCCAATTGCTTTGGAAAGGGCAACCAAACATTTTTTTTTCAAGATGGCCTTGAAAACAAAATTAAGCAATCTTTTAGAAAAATCAGAATCTTCTATATTATCATCATAACTATATCAAATGGTTCTAATTTTGTCACAGGTGGTAAAGATAGGTAATCAGAGATTACAGAGCTCACCTCAATGAATGTTGTCTTTAAGTAAGGCAAAGTCACAAAATTAACCAACAAAAAATGTACATCCAAAAATGCAAAATTTATGCAATTTCGATTTGATACTTTGGAACAGACCTATATAAAAACTTCAAACTAGTTCTTCATCATGAAAACATAATAAAAATCCAGCATCTGAAGCAAGTTTGAGAGTTTTCATCCCTTGATGCACCATTTATGCAAGTTTGGTTTATATAAGTCTTATAGTTTCTTGGTAATAGACCTGCACCCATAACTTTTACGAGGTCCATTATCTGGTAAATGTATGTCGAATTCAGCATCTTAAGCAAGTTCATTAGTGTGCATCCTAAGATGTATCATCCATGAAAGATTGGTTATTATAGGGCTCAAAGTTACTTGGAAATATAACCTGCCATTGGTTGAAAAAGATTGGTGATGATGTGAAGTAAGAGATAATTGAACCTATACTATGCCTTTTGATCAAGTATTGTAGATAAAATTACACCGATTGACCAGGTCAATAAAAAATCTGCAAAATTGAAAAAATAAAAAATATAAAATAAAAGCCGCCCGCCTGCCTCGATTTTTTAAAAAAATCAGATGAGAATCTAGCAATTTATTTCTTATGGCCTTACTTGGACATCTATTTTTTAAGGAAGGATTTTATCATTCCTTTTAAGATTCAGTTTTTCTGGCCCAGTGGTAACTGACAAGATTATAAAAAATATTAGTTGAAATTGTTCCAGTGGTTCTTGGAAAGAAATCAAACTCACAAAAAGGACAAAGACAACGGATGACAAAAAATGCACAATTTTAAATGACAGATGGATGCCAAACATGCATTGATCAGAAAAACTTATTTGAGCCTTCAGAATAGGTAAATTTTGTTGAAGAATAATACAAGGGCTGTTATGAAAGTTCATGGACGATGTCAATCTTCCTTATACTTTCTTAAAGATATTTAAAATGAGCATATTATGATATGTAAAAATATTTATTTTGTTGAAATGTGAATTTTCATTCCATGTGCTTTAATAGAAGTCGTGTTATTTAATTTTAAAATCAACACATTTTGTGACCATGGAGCAAACCCAACAATGTTGTAACTTCAAAAGAAATTGTCATGAGGTTCTCAAATATAATTTTCCCATACACTTAATGGCACAATTCTAGTGTACTCATTTTCAAAAAAAGTTTCTCTATCACTTGAAATTTAAGGTAGGATTCTTCTCACATTTCTTGTTTTTAAAAATTAATGAAATTTTCACAGAATCAAGAGGACAATATCACTAAGTGATGGTATCAGCGAGATTAAATTTGACCATTCAGTATTAGAGGCAAGGTCAGGTCAAGGTCATTACCTTTTTCCTGGACATTAAGAATAAAAAAATACTGTTTCCAATCCAATCATGCGATCCCTAATTGTAATTCAAAAGATTGAATGTTTTTCTTTTTGCATAAAAAGATACTATGTACTATATAGGGCCTTATAAGATATTATTATCAAATTGACATGCATAATTTAAATAAAATGGATATTTGCTAATTCAAATTTCCTCTACTTTTCTTAAATTTTTAGGATTTATTAATTATTTTTATATGCTTCCTATATTTAACTTTTTCCAATTTTCACATATAGTAAAGTTGTCACATAAAGGTACAAAATGATATAAAAACTAAAAGTTTTGATCGTTTACTTTTTATTTACTGTTTTACGGGAATTTTTTTCAAAAAATTGAGGCGGGGGGGGGGGGGGGGGGGGTCGAAATAAAAATAAAAATAAAACCTTCAAATTCAAGCAGTCGGTCAGAAAAATAAAAATAAAACAAAAAAATGTAACAATTTTTTTTATTTTTTAAATTAAGAATGGAATCGTTTTATTGCCTTAATTTGTCAGAAAATGGTGTTATTTTGAAAAATTAATGCATCATGCAAAACAATTTTATCATATAAACATATTTTTTTTGGTATTCAATAAATAATAAAATTTTGAGGATTTTTGAGTAGCTATCATATGGCAAGAATATAGTGAGGCTTTTAATGGATCAGTTAAATTATTTCACAAGTGAGACTAATTAAAAGAAAATCTGTGTATCTTTTTCAATGCAATTCAAATTAATATACACATAGGTGGATAAAACATAACTTATCTTTCTCTTCAAAACATATTCAAATTGCCTCAATGCTACAACTTTCAAAGTACATGATTGTAGAAAATACACGTATTTACCATAAGTATATACATGTAAAATAGGCAATGACAATTACTCTGTTTACTGCAGAATTCGAATATTTGTTAAAACTTGTTCTGAATCCATAACTTTTGAATAAAAAAAAAAACAGGTCATATATTTGTATGGACGTATCATCTGCAGCTTTGTTTTTCCCTATTGGTAATTTTTTTTTACAAAGAAAGCTGTTACCACGCTGATGTACATCAATTTGTTACATAACAAGCAAAATTCCATTTTGAATCGTAATATGTGTGATTAATATGATATTAATGAGTGAAAGTTGTGACTCGTATTTCCTCAGTCACGCCACTTTCTACAGTGTTCTGTTCAGTCGTTACATGTAAAAGAAAACTTGATTGTCATAAAAATAAGTTTCAGAACAATCTTCAAGCCGTATTTCAATGCCCTGGAACAATTGTTAAAGATAATACATACTTAAAACCTCTCAAAACAAGGGGTTGACAGAACCTCGATTTCCAAGTGGCCCTCCGCAAAACATTTGATCAAGATTAATGTTTGATCTATTTTATTCAATCTTTCATTAAAAGTTAATCTGAAAATAATAATTTTTCTAATAAATGACATATCACTTTTTAAAAATGACTGAGTCAATTTAAAAATATATTAAACACTACGATTCTGACATTTTGCCGCTAACTGTTATGCTATGCAGTGACTATCCATACTTCACATTCATGCTCATTAGTTTTGTCAACTGTGATTGGATGGATATATTTACCTTAGCCAATGACAATTCACGTTTTGAAAGGCTTGTAAAAATTTTGTGGACGTTTCTTTTATTTTTTCAGTGACTATAAATAACCTATCGGCGGGAGAA